TCTGTTTTTCTTGGAGGAGGTTTTTTTTTTTTTTTTTTTTGCTATAAGGCACATGCGCTCACCAGACAGAGAGACAGAAAGCGAGAAACCACCCCCCAGGGGGGATGGCCACACTGCAGTCCCTTCTCCTCCATTCTCCTCTCGGGATCTTGGGCACGCACGCACACGTGCCCGGCATGAGTTTTAAGCCCTGGGTCCAGGATGCGAACCGTGGTCGACTACATGGGAGTCCAGCGACATAGTCATTACGCTAACTGCTGGTCCCTGAAGTCTGTTTTTCTGACTTCTTTTGTTTCTGCTGGTCGTCAGTCTTGTTTCCTCATCTGCTTGATTACTTTTTTTGGGGGGTGGTGGGTGGGGGAAGCGGTTTTTGCTGTAGGGCACATGTGCTTGTCAGAAAGATGTAAGAGACAGAAAGCGAGAAACCACCCCCCAGGGGGGATGGCCACACTGCAGTCCCTTCTCCTCCATTCTCCTCTCGGGATCTTGGGCATGCACGCATATGTGCCAAGCAAATGACTTTAAGCCACCGGGTCTGGGACTTGAATTGTGGTCAACTATGTGGGAGTCCAGCGATATAGCCATTATGCCATCTGCTGGTTCCAGCTTAATTACTTTTGATTATCTCCTGGTCCTTGTTTTTGAGAAAGTATTTCGAGGAATAATTGGAGGCCTCAGATGAGGCCTCTGCCCTTGTGGGCAGAGAATTTTTGTGTACCTTCCCAGGCCCACGGGGCTCTTTCTGGCCCAGGACTATTTCAGAAGCGGCTCATGGTTGTGGTTCCGGGCTCTTTCAGGTAGGCGCTCTTGGGCCACCAGTCTACCTGAGGGCTGGTTTGCTTCGGGTTCCCCTGTTACCAAGTAGATGGAGCTCTTTGGGGCCCTCGTTCTTTCTTGTGAAGAATCTCCTTTTAACGCTCTGCCTCGGCCAGCCCTGGTCTTCAGTTTCCGCTCAGGAGGCCATTAAAATGTGAGCTCCATTTTCCCAGATCAGCCAGTACTTTGAGTGCAGAAAGACTTATCTCTCAGGTTCCCATTTTCCTTAGTTGTCAAAGTTTCAGTGCTTTTAAGACTTCTTTTAGAAATATTTTTGGGACCAGCAGTTAGCATATTGGCTATGTCGCTGGACTCCCATGTAGTCAACTGCTGTTCGAGTCCCGGACCCAGTGGCTTAAATTCACACCGGGTGCGTGTGCGTGTGTGCCTAAGATCCCGAGAGAATGGAGGAGAAGGGATTGCGGCATGGCCATCCTCCCTGGGGGGTGATTTCTTACTTTCTGTCTCTCTGTCTTTCTGGCGAGCTCACGCGTTCTATAGCAAAAACCTCTAAAAAAAAATTATATTATTCATTGTTTTTAGCAGAATAGTGGGCCAATACTGGAGCCTGTCTGTCCAGACTTCAGATTCCTGTCCTGTTTTTCCCTGTTGCTCCTGGGTCCTGATGTGGTTAACCTTTAGTACCATTGCGATTGCGTCACCTAGAGGAACACAGTGACCGTGTGAGCTTTAGCCCCCCTCCCCCCCACTCCCCTGCCACTACCACTGCCCAAGATGTTAAAACCCAAGGTCTGTGATTTGTTAGTGGCTTTGGAAGGAAGAGACCGGCCGGGAAGGATATGTCTGTTTTGGGCATTTCTGTTTCTGAGGGCCTGAGAAAAGGTCTTTCCTTGGCCTGGTTGTAATTGAGTTTTGGTAGCAGAGGGCAGGAGGCTAGTCATTTTTTCCGCAATGCTAGATTGTCAGAGGGATAATGAGAGCCTTCATTTCACAGTGTAGCTGGTCGCATGCTGCTGGTTGGGGGCCCAAGCCCTTGGTGGGCCACTGGCCTGACGAAGCACCGAGGGCAGGCCAAGGCCTGGATTATACAGGAAGAGAGAGCTGTGTGACAAGTCTGGGGGAAGCAGCCTGCTGTGGGGTCAGGAAGCCCATGTCTAACTGTCCTCCCACAGGTGGCCATACTGTGCCCTTAGACACAGCGTGCCATATGCATGGCTCTGAGTGACACCTGCTTCTCTCAGCCTTGGCTGTCCTGCGAGGCTGTGACCTTGGGGGAGAGTGGGCTCTGTTGGCCCCACAGCCACCCTTTAGGAGAATAATGGAGGGGGCTCTGCATGGTCCCCAGGCGGAAGAGGGAATGGCCCTCAATGGGCCATCTAGAGTCCATAGCCTCTGGTTCTAGTAGATTCACTCATCCAGCAGTTTTGGTCCTAAACACTGGCTTCGTTCATCTGGTCTAATCTCATTTTGCAAATGCGCAAACAGGCTCAGAGAGTTTCTTGTATTTAAGATTAAGCAGGATATTCTGGCCTCACGTGGCTTGTTTGAGTAGAAGACCAAGGAAGTGGAGCCCAGCTTTGGTCAGTGGGAATTTGGGGGCATTTACTATGAACCTCCGAGCCCAGGAGAAAAGAGTAATAAAGGTGAGCCAGACTGCCTCCCCCTCAGATCTCCATGGGCCCAGCCCAGGCCCTCTTGGTTGGCATAGACCTTGAGACCATCTGGTCAGAGATCAGTGAAGATCCCCTGAAGTGGCAAGTCAGGGAACCTGACTGGAGGACGGTGGGGCAAGTAGGCCCCTGGTGGCCCCTGTACAAAAAATAACTCAGCTTCCTGAGCGGGTGCCAGCTTTTCCTTCCTGGGGCCTGGGCTGGCTGCTGAGCCTGCAGGTTTCTGGGCGCACTGCTGTCTTCACCCTGTGACTGGGCTGGGCCTGACTTTGCCCTTGGTGTCCCAGGCCATCCCACTCTGACCAGCACGTGGGCCTCTCTGCACTCGCCACTCCCCACGGGACCAGTCGCACCATGCAGCCTGGGCTGTGCACTCCCTCTTGGCCTTGTGCCCAGTTACCTTCGCTGGCAGCCGCCCCTCCCCACGCAGAGCAGCCGCAGACCAGCAAGCCCTTTCATTCTTCCTCTGTTCTTAAAGCAATTTCAGTGAGTTCATTTCTCAGCCTCCTGCGAATTATCAAGCACCAAACTTTCTTTTTAAATTACCTCTATAATTTTCTTTTAAAATTACCCTTATAAAACTAGGTGACAGTTAAATGAAGACCATGTGCTGCTCCTGGCATTTTTCTTACTAAGCCTGCAAACCTGTTGGCTTAAAGATAACAGGGGAGGATTGTCCTGGACCTGAGGCACTGTTTTTCTAGCTGCCGGGTCCTGTATTTAAATTGCTTTATCTGGTTGATAGAGATCCCGTCCCTTTTCCTGGATCAAATAAGGATAAGAGAGCCTGAGGGTAATAAATGTGTGTGGACAAAACTGTTGGAAAGTTTTTATGGAAGTAATTTCTCTCACATATTTGATACCGAAAATGTATAGCTTCAGATGTCTGCTGTGGCTGGGCCCGTGAACTGTACGTCTTGTCGTTTCTGGAATCTTTTCTCTGTCTAGTGATCTGGGGTCAGTGTTTCTCAGCCCCCCCATCCAGATTGTATCTTCTGTCGGTGGTATCAGCTTGCCAGCATTTTGAACATGACTAGAGAGACTTAACTGTAGGAGCTCTTCAAAGTTAAGAGATAAGTAGGCAATGCAGTGTGAGTATGTTACGCTGGGCTCTGTCCAATCACCTGGAAACAGAAGCATGCAGTGTTTTAGGTTTGGGAAGGACTCAAGAGCCCGCATTTTACTGATAAAGATACTGAGGCCTTGTTCAAGGTCCCATAGAGTGAACGAGTACTAGAAGCCCTGTTTCCGACTCTCCAGGCAGGTGCTCTCTCCACTCCCCATGACGCTTCTCTGGTGTCAGTGATCTCCCCCTGTACCCCCGCCCCAGCACCCGCCTTCTCTCCTGGAGGCAGAGAATAGACCAGGTGGCTGAGTACATCATGCCCTTGCTCATCCTCTTGTCCTCGTCCCTTCCCTCTTCCCAGGCATGCCCAGTCTGCCACAGCCCACCCATCAGTCCCCTCCTCGAGCAGGCATCCTACCTCTTGCACTTCTCAGCCTCCCCAGATTGCCTGAAGTTCACCCTGTGCTTTAGCTCTTATGACAGGATCTGTCCAGGTTGGGGTGTTAATTTCCATCTTGTGAGGCCTGTCATGATACCTGATGCCCAGCAAATGGGCCGTCGGTGAACAGGAGAGATGTGATATACCAGACACCCCAACATGGGCTCAGCGTCTTGTTTTGCTGCCCAGCTCTGCAGGTGTCTGTCATCTCTCCAGCTAAGTTCCAGAAGGGCAGGCAGTCTAGTTTCCATGTCTTTCACCAGAGCCCTTAGTAAAGTTCTTGGCTGGTGGTCGGTTCCAGCATTGATACTTTATTTTCTTGCCATTTGAATCTGCAATTCAGGTTAAATTATAAGTTTACTTTATCCCAAGGCCTTGGCACATGGCCACATCTTCATGGCCGCCTGAACGCTCTGGCCCCATGGTACCTACCATTTGGGAATGAAGAAGTCAACAGGTTGTGGCAATTAGTGCACAGATTTCTACACTTGAATTCTTCAGTACCTATTTGCAATGACAAGATAGTATGAGTGGTGAGGTGGATACAAGCCAAAATAATTGTTAGGGTTGCTGTGAAAATTGCCACGGAAGCAGCATCCTCCTGAGTTAGTGTTTTACAGCTAGAAGAATGCTGCTGAAATGCTTATTCCAAGAGCCTCAGAATCACCAGGATGCTGCGTTTTATCCTGTTGGACTTTGAAGTAATGCTGGTAACAGCTATTGTTCATGTATTTCCAGCCTTGAAATAGAGAATTGCTAATAGACATGAGCCAGTTAAAAGGGAGGAAACGATTATTCCAGTGTCCTGAGGAGAGATTGCCTGGCATTCGTAACACTGGTATGTCGGCTGCTCATAAGAGACTCCCTCACTGGAAGCTATCTAGTGAAAATTAAACCATTAAACCCACTGAAGTAAAAAACAGTGGACATCTGCCAAGTAAAATCATAATCGCCCTTTAAACCAAGCCACCTGTGCTCCTATCTGCAAAGGACAGTGTTTCCTATGGAGACCTGCTCTCTGACTTCTCGTTTCTCACTGTTTTCACAGAGCCTGAGCCTGAAGCCGGCAATGACAAGTCTGAATGGTCGCCATGCCAAGAAAACCATTGACATGCCAAAACCATCAGCCCCCAAAGTGCACGTGCAGAGGTCCGTGTCCCGAGACACCATCGCCATTCACTTCTCGGCATCCAGGGAGGAGGAGGAGGAAGAGGAGGAGGAGTTGAGGGAGTACCTCGAGGAGGGGCTGGACGACCAAAGCATTGTAACAGGGCTCGAAGCCAAGGAAGACCTCTACTTTGAGACTCAGGGTGGCCATGACCCTGCTGGCCCTGCCGCCTCGCCCCTCCTGGCAGATGGATGGTCTGTGTCGCAGGCCTCTGCCATTTTGCCCGTTTCCGAGAACACTGTAAAGCTGTTGGAGTCCCCTCCTCCGGCAGCACAAGTATTAAGTACAGTGCCACTGGCTCTGTCCCCAGGGTCGTCTTCATCAGGACCCTTAGCTAGCTCTCCCAGTGTGTCATCCCTTTCGGAGCAGAAAACCAGTTCCTCCTCCCCGCTGTCTTCCCCTTCCAAGTCTCCCGTGCTCTCATCCAGTGCCTCGTCCTCCGCCCTTTCCAGTGCAAAACCCTTCATGAGCCTTGTGAAGTCCCTGTCAACCGAGGTGGAGCCAAAAGAGTCCCCGCACCCTCCGAGGCACAGGCACTTGATGAAGACATTGGTCAAGTCTCTGTCCACAGACACCTCGAGGCAGGAGTTGGACACCGTTTCCTATAAACCACCGGACTCCAAACTGAACTTACACCTGTTCAAGCAGTTCACACAGCCGCGAAACACAGGTGGAGACTCCAAAACTGCACCTTCTTCCCCGCTCACGTCCCCCTCTGACACTCGCTCCTTTTTTAAAGTGCCCGAAATGGAGGCTAAAATTGAAGACACTAAACGACGCCTTTCAGAAGTCATATATGAGCCTTTTCAGCTCCTTAGTAAAATTATAGGGGAAGAAAGTGGCAGCCATAGGCCCAAAGCCTTATCTTCAAGTGCTTCAGAACTCTCCAATCTGTCCAGCTTGAATGGGCACTTGGAAAGCAATAACAACTACAGCATCAAGGAAGAGGAGTGTGATTCTGAGGGGGATGGCTACGGAAGTGATTCCAATGTCCCCAGAGGTGACCACTCAAAATCCCCTGAGGAGCCCGCAAGAGAGGGGGAACTGAAGAGTTCCCAGGTGAGCAGTCTGAAGGATTTAGGCCTGAAGACAAGTTCTCTAGTTCTTGAGAAATGTTCTTTGTCTGCCTTAGTGAGCAAGGAAGATGAAGAGTTTTGTGAACTGTATACTGAGGACTTTGATTTGGAAACAGAGGGGGAGAGTAAAGTTGACAAGCCCCCAGACATCCCTCTCAAGCCAGAGGTGCTTGCAGAGGACGGTATGGTTCTTGACAGTGAGGACGAGGTGGACTTGGCCGTGCGGCACCCGGACTTACCAGTGAAGACATTGGGCTTCTTTATAATGTGTGTCTATGCGTACCTCATCCTCCCCCTCCCCCACTATGTGAGTGGACTCTGCCTGGGCATTGGCCTGGGATTCATGACTGCCGTGTGCATGATTTGGTTTTTTACACCACCAAGTGCTCATAAATATCACAAGTTACATAAAAGTCTGCAACACTGGAACACAAGATCTCTGGATATCAAAGAACCTGAAATACTGAAGGTAAGCCTTTCCTCAGCAACTCGCTTGTACACACACTCTCAAATACAGCCTTTTGTTTCAGTCTGCCTTTCTCTCACTGACAACTGAATACCACACCGGGTTGTTGATACTGATTAGAGGTTTATTTAGCTCATGGTTTTAGAGGTCCAGGGTCAAAGGGCTGAATCTTGTGAAGGTCTTCTTGTTGGTAGGAGCTCTCTGCAAAGTCAATGCAGCACAGGGCATCACATGACAAGGACAAGAGCAAGCACATGTGTCAGCATGTTGCTTTTCTTAGAGTGCTGCCAAGAATGAATCATGGGTGCCCCACCCTGATGATTGTCGTCCCATTCTAGTCACCTCCCAGCGGTCTCACCTTTCCACGCCATAATCAGATAAAGTCTCCTGCCTTGCAGTGCCATTACAGTGGCTCACTAAGTTTCAACATGTGAATTTTTTTTTTCTTCTTCTTTTTTTTTGGAGAGATTTTCACTGTAGGGCGCGTGCGCTCGCCAGACAGACAGAGAGAGACATAGAGACAGAAAGCGAGAAATCACCCCCCAGGGGGGATGGTCACGCCGCAATCCCTTCTCCTCCATTCTCCTCTCGGGATCTTGGGCACGCACGCACACGCGCCCGGCGTGAGTTTTAAGCCACCGGGTCCGGGAAACGAACCGCGGTCGACTACGTGGGAGTCCAGCGACATAGCCATTACGCTAACTGCTGGTTCCCTCAACATGTGAATTTTGAGGAGACATATCCAAATCACTGCAGCCTTATTTTAGATCTGACTTAATTTTGGAGGGTTAATTTTTGGAGGTTTCTGCACAGGCAGTGCTCTTATGATTTGGGGTTCTCTTCCTCCTGCAGGCACCCAAGGAACTGACCTGGGAAATTTCATTCTAGCTCAACTTTTGCCGACTCACCAAGTAGTTTTCTAAAAACCTCTGTGGCTTTTGAGAGTAGCATTTACATCCAGTTTCCATCTTGGTCTGTCTCTGAATTTGCCAGGAATTTGCTACTTGCTGAGGATTTGTTGTAGCTAAGTCTATTAAGCTTAAATATTCTTAAGAACCTAAAGAAAGGTTAATACCTGTGAAATTGGAAGCAAAAGGAAGAAGGAAGAGAAAGCTAATTAATGGCAGCATTGGACCCTCTTGGTGCTCCTGTTTTCTCTGCACAGTGGAGCTTGGGCTGAGCCGTCACCTGTCAGTGCTTGTCGGATGTCAGGTTTGGGGCCTCCTGAGGGGTACTTGAGACAGCCCATCAGGGTGGAAGAAAATACTAGAACTCTTCTATTAATATTTATTTTTCATGTCATAAAGTTTTTGGGTTATTGTGTATGTTTCTTAATATATGCAATAGAAAGGGCCGGGAGGTAGTGTAGTGGTTAAGGTGCTAGACTCCCACATGGCAGATTGTGGTTCAAGTCCCAGACCCAGCAGCTTGAAAGTCACATTGGGCACACGTGCATGCGTGCCCAGAATCTTTTTTTTTTTTCTGGAGAGATTTTCGCTATAGGGCGCGTGTGCTCGCCAGACAGAGAGAGACATAGAGACAGAAAGCAAGAAATCACCCCCTAGGGAGGATGGTCATGCTGCAATCCCTTCTCCTCCATTCTCCTCTCAGGATCTTGGGCACGCACGCACACGCGCCCGGCGTGAGTTTTAAGCCACCGGGTCCGGGACACGAACCGCGTGGTCGACTACGTGGGAATCCAGTGACATAGCCATTACGCTAACTGCTGGTTCCCCGTGCCCAGAATCTTGCGAGGAGAAGGAAGAAGAGGGGATTGCAACATGGCCATCCCCCTGAGAGATAATTTCTCACTGTCTTGTTCTGTCTCTCTCTGACTACAGCGAGCACATGTGCCCTATAGCAAAAATCTCTCCAAAATAAACCAAATATATATGCAATATGAAAGTACAGTTGTGGCCTATATAGTTTGTAAGTTACATATACACACATACAATTGTATACATGGTTTGTTTTTTTTTTTTTTTTTGTAAGGTTTTCTCTATGGGCACGTGCGCTCACCAGAAAGACAGAGAGAGACAGATAGAAAGCAAAAAATCACCCCCTGGGGGTATGGCCATGCCGCAATTCCTTCTCCTTCATTCTCCTTTCGGGACCTTGGGCACGCACACACACGCGCCTGGCATGAATTTAAGCCACCGGGTCTAGGACTCGAGCCATGGTCAACTACGTGGGAGTCCAGCAGCATAGCCATTACGCTATTATGCTGGTCCCTATACATGTTTTTAAAGGTAGCATATGTAATCAGTTTAGAGACGACTGCTTTATAAAAGTTAGCTAATTCAATTTCACCAGAGTTTGATACTTCTAGTTTTGCACACAGAAACTCAGGCTCTGAGAGATGGTCATTTATCCTAGATTTCTTGACACATAATTAACTAATTGAGGTGGAATTTGGAGCCCTGGTGTATCCTTTTCCTGACTTTTTTTTTTTTTTTTCTTGAGAGAGAGATATTTTTGCTATAGGGCACATGTGTTCGCTGGAGAGACAGAGAGACAGAAAGTGAGAAATCACTCCCCAGGGGGATGACCATGCTACAATCCCTTCTCTCGGGATTGTGGGCACGCACGCACACCTGACCAGTGTGAGTTTTAAGTCGCTGGGTCTGAGACTCAACCCATGGTAGACTATGTGGAAGTCCACCGACATAACCATTATGCCATCTGCTGGGTCCCCTTCTTCCTGCTTTTTTGCATGACACTTATCTGCAGAACTTTCATGCCTAGGCCTGTCTGGAAAAGCCCTCACCTTACAAAAGATGTAGAAAAAGGAAGACTCACTTTCCCTGGAGCAGTTTTAAACCTTAATTATTGATGTTAATCTTCAGCTTTTCAAATTCAAAGCTCCTTTGGTTTCTGTGTTAAACTAATAGGTTTCTCCTCCCTTCTGTTTAAGTAAGAATGCTCTAAAAATGGGGAGTGTCATGGTAGTTAAGGGCACTGGATTTCCTCGTGGCCGACTGTGGGTTTAGTCCCACACCTGATGGCTTGCTTTCTCACCTCTTTCTCTCCCTCTGTCCCTCTCTGGTCAAATTAAAATAAGTAAATAAATAAATAAAGTTAAATAAAGTAATAAAAAAAAAGAATGCTCTAAATGGCAGCACGATCTCTCTTTGTTACAACAAAAAAAATCATTTTCCTTTTTTCAAAAGAAATACATGGCCAGTGTTTGAAAGGTAGAGAAAACCTAAAGAAAAGAGTTATTCATTATCACATTGATGGGCAGGAATTAATGATTTTATATGCATCCTAGTGTTTTGTTTTTTGAGAGAGACTTTTGCTCTAGGACACTTGTACTTGCCCGAGACAGAGAGACAGAAAGGGGGTACCACCGCACTGCAATCCCTTCTCTTCCGTTCTCTTGGGATTTGGGGCACGCACCCACACATACCTGGCATGAGTTTCCAGCTGCTGTGTTTGGGACTCGAACTGCAGTCGACTATGTGGGAATCCAGTGCCTTAACCACCACACCATCTACTGCCCCCTCGCCCCTTTAATTTCTGCCAAGTGTGAGTATATACGTCATACACATACATACTCATCCACTCTTTTTGTTTTCATTTAATGGGGTCATATATTCTGCAGCCTGACCTTTTGCTTCCTTTTACATGACAGTATGCTATAAAACTTTTCTTTTTTAAGAGAAGCTGGTGTTGAGTCCTGAGGATATGACACCCTTAAGCTTAGCATTAATACCTAAAGTGGAGCGAAAGTGACTCATTATGCATGGCTGCTAAGCTTTCCTGATAGGGTGGTGCTGTGACTACCTGAATTACATGGCCACTAAGTAAGTTAGTGCTAACTTTAGCAAAGAAAAATGTACTTCCACTAACCCTAGTGCCTGCCTCACTGTGCCATTCAGTTTAAATTGGTTTGAGCACTTGTCTTAGAAAGATTGCCATTTCAAAGGAGTCTACCTCTAGCTTTGCCCTAGTCACAAAGTGTGTTTACCAACTATACAAGGGATGCTCAAGGAATGGAAATTTTTTCTTTTTTCTTTTTTTTTGGTCATAGGGCACATGTGGCTTGCTGGATAGAGACAGAGAGACAGTGAGAGGGAAAGTGAGAAATCACCCCCCCGGGGGGACGACCCCACTGCAGTCCCTTCTCCTTTCTCCTGGGATTTTGAGCACGTATGAACATGTGCCCAGTGTGAATTTCAGGTTGCCAAGTCTAGACTCGAACTACAGTTGGCCATGTGGGAGTCCATCACCTTAACCGCCACACCACCTGCTGGCCTCCAGAATGGGATATTACTGTTATGGCCAAGTCTGGTTGCTTCTATCCAATCATTGAAACAGTGTAGGCAGTGCTAGTTGTGATGCTGAGCACCTGTGGTGGCCTAAGTGTTGGGTGTGTTCTCTCGTTTGATCTTCATCACAAACCTTTCCAGTTAGGGTATATGCTCATGGGAAATGGAGGCCCAGAGAGGTTCACAGCAAGGAAGTGCTGGGGCCTGCAGGACTGACATTTTAAGGAAGGTGTTTCGCCACTCAGTGTCTGGAATAAATGTATTTGGATTTTCCTTGTAGAGAAAAGTAGTTTAATGGTTTTACAGACTGACATCTGTAATTGAAGCAAATTGCCTTAGGCTAGTTTATGAGTATTCTTCCTGACTGATGTTTGCAGAACTCTGATCACTTTGGTAGTTCTTTTTCATTCTTTGCCTTAACTTATTTAGAATGACTTTATTACTAATGAGGAAAAGTATATTTTAGCCTGAGGTCTTTTTGTTGGTATGCTGGGCTGTTTTTAGAAATCTGGTTAAATACATCCTCACTTAGAAAAGAGGTACTGCTAATGGACTGACCCCAGTGGTCTGGTGGTTAAAGGAGCCAGATCCCACATGGCCGACCACAGGGTTCTACTCCTGGCTCCAGCAGCTTGAAGGACACACTGGGTGCATGTACATGCATGCCCCAAATCCTGACAGGATGAAGAAGTAGAGGAGAGGGGATTGGACATGAACATACCCCACTGTGGG